TAAAATAGGAAATCAAAGTCAAAGGTGGTAATATTGTGAGAAAGTAAATGACAGCAAGAATTGAGGCAGAGTGGGACATATCCCCCTCCGTCTCCATGTCCCCAGTAAAGTTGCATTTTTCAACTGACACACAGTGAAAAGGGAGATAAAATAAGAAGGGCTGATCTTTGAATTCCAAAAGTATCAATTTATCACATTGATATCCATTAGACATCTGATATCTAAAATTGTAAATATAAAAACAGGAAGATAGCTGTGAATCTGCTGTTCTCCTTACAAACAATCTCCGCACAACCTTTTCTAGGAAAACTAACTCTAGATTGCTCACAACCAGGTAAAAAGGGCTCCCTCGGTTCTTTGCAGTGTGGTATTTGTCTTGACCCAGTGACAGTTGTCTATAAGCAATAATGAGGTAGAAAACTGATGATTCTGTTTCTTCCTATCTGATATATAAAATCTAGAATTTAGGAGTTATCTTGGAGAAAGAGCTGAACACAAGGCTGGAGGCAAAAACCAGATTTGGAATGACTCCCAAACTGGCATTCTTTCACCCATGTAAGGGGACACTGCTCTTAAACTAATTTTGTCCCACGCCTAATCACATCACACTCTGCTTCATATCCTCCAAGAAGGTCAACTTGCCATTTTAGGGTACAGCTGCTCAGAGAGATGCATGAGACCCTCCACGATCTAGCCCCATCCTACTTCCTTATTCTTGCTCTTACCACTCTCTCCCTCTCTATTCTCCACCGAGTGATCTGTTTGCTACTCCAAAAATACCTCCAGGCCATTGTCTTTACCATTCCTTCTCCTGGAACACTCTTCCTGCATCTCTCCACTGTGATGTGCTTACTCACTTCATACTAAGTACCTGTGGCAGGTAGATCTAAGATTGCTTCTACTAAATCATCACCTTCTGTTGTTCGCAGCCTTGTGCCGCCCACCCCCCATGCCTCACATACAGAGTCGCTTGCTTCTAACCAATAGGCTGTAGCAACCTTGGGGGATGTCACCGTCGTAGTTAGGCTGCACACGTTTGTGACTTCCGTCTCGCGAGCAGACTCTCTACGTTGCATTCTCAGGTTATACGCTGTGCAAGCTGCCACGTTACAAAAAAAAGCCCACATGGCAGGACACTGAGAGTGGTCTCGGAACCAAAAGCCGGGTAGGAACTGAGAGCCTCCGTTCAGTAGCCTGGGAGGAACTTAACCCTGCCAAACAGCCGTGAAACCCCATGAGTTTAGAAGCAGATTGTTCCCCAGTGGAGCCTCGATCCCCAGCTGAATCTTTGATCACAGCCCTGTGAAAAACCCTCACGCGGAGGACAGAGCAAAGCTATGCCCAGATTGCTGACCCGCAAGCTCCACGATAATAAATACTCGCTGTTTTAAGTTGCCAAGTTATGAAGCAATAGGTAACGAACACAATGCCCAACCCGGGCATCATCGTCTCCAAGAAACCTCCCCTGAGCCCAGGAGCCTGGGTTACACGTTCTTCTCAATACCCCACATACTTATTCTATCACAAGGCATTGTGATGACTCCATGCCATTACATCTAAGATGCCACCAATTATAAAATAATCCATGACTATATGTACCACGGAGGAAAAATAATGCTGTCAATTAAACTGTAACACATCATCTGTTGAAAAGGCATTCCAGCTTCAGAGACATTAAGATGTGAGAAAAATAAAAGTGTTGTAGAACTGATGAAATATGGTTCGTGCATCTATTTCCTCCCACTAATTTTGGGCAATGATTATGTTTTAATCCTGCTCATCTGCTCAGAGCCTAGGTAAGTGCCTGCTGCAACCATCTCACCCTGTATATAAATTCACTTAGAAGGTATTTGTTTTTAAATAGCTGTATCAAGATATAATGTGCATACCATGCGTCCACTCATTAAAAGCATTTAATGTGCACAACTCAGTGGCTTTTAATACATTCGCAGAGTTGAACGACCAGCAAGCGCTACAATCAATCCTAGAACATTTTCATCACCCCCAAATGAAACGTCACACCCCACAGCCATCACACCCTAACCATTCCCATCTCCAACCCCAACTTGAGTCAACCACTGGTCTACTTTCTATTGCTACAGATTTGCCTATTCTAGATATTTCATAGAAGTAGAATTATGTAATATGTGGTTCTTTGTGACTGGGTTATTTCTTAGCATAATGCATTGAAAGTTTGTGTGACCCAGCACCCTATCCCTAGATACATAACCAAGGGAAATGAAAATTTATGTCCTCACAAAAACTTATATATGAACTTCCATAGCAACATTATTCAAAATAGTCAAAAGGCAGAAATAATCCAAATGTCCATCACCAGATGAATGGATAAGTAAAATGTGGTATATGCATGCCGTGAAATATTATTCCACCATAAAAAGAATATATTTAGGTTTGCCTTGCTCAAAGTACGCTGTTCTCTCACTGGTTGTCGGTGTGCCCTATTCCTTGAAATAATGACCACTGGCTACTTGACTAAGTGTCATTATTTCATCATATTGTGTCTCATTCAGTGTTTTGTCTTCTCAGCATCTACTTTGCACAGGTGTTTGTTGAGTCAGTTAACATACCTGAAATACGCGATTCAGTGTGCTGTAAGCAGTTGCTGCTTAGAGAAATAGAAGCTGCTGTCACTGTGTGTCGTCAGAGTGTGGTGGCACAAGCTCTGGGATTATCTGGAATGGAGTGTGAGCACTTGCTCTGCAACTTGTCTGATTTGCGACCTTGCACAGGTCCCTTCATTCTTTTGGCCTCAGCTCCTTAATGGTAAAGTGTAGATCGTAACCCCTACCTACTTCATGGAGGAGGGAGTGGTTATGAGAATTACATGAGAACATTTCAGAAAAGACTAAAACTTTGCACTAGTAAGAAAAGTATTACAATAGGAAAGAAATGATAGGAAAATCTTCCAATGCTCATTTTTAGAGCTGTCTCTGAACTCATAAAGGATCAAGTTTCCAAGGGCAAGATCTGAGGAACCCTATAGAGGGAGATAAATGACACTGAGAACCCTGTTTCTCAGTAGGTGACAGCTAGCATCTCTTCTTTCAGATACCAACCCACTGGCCCAGGAGCTGTGGCTAGATGTCAGGGCTTTGGGCTCATGGACCACTGGAATTTAAGTAGGCTACTGGGATGCAGGGAATTATAGATGCCTATGCATGAGTATGATCTGTCTCTGTCTGTCTGTCTATCTGTCTGTCTGTCTGTCTGTCTGTCTGTCTCTCTCTCTCTCTCTCTCTCTCTTTCTCTCATATTATGGTCTCAGCCAATAGCAATAACCACAGGCTTCCCTTTCTATGTAAAGTACAATCTGTAGTTAACTGCACCAGCTACTCCTGGCTTGAAAACAATTGAGGGGCCATCACATCATACGTCTGACCCAACCAAAGAGTACCATGCCTAGGTGTCATTTTGAGTGACAGCCTTCCTATCTGCAGAAACTATAAAGCAGACTCACTCTAAGAAACTGTCATAGTTGCTGGGGCCAAGGACGCAAGCCACCTGTCACTTCACAGTCAGAACACCCACCCTGAGCTCTTTTTTCAGGTTATGCCCCAGGGAACGGGTACTAAAAGCTCCTGGCAATGGCGTAAAATAAGCAGCTCAGTTAAAGTCCAGAAATTCTCTTAAAGTTTCCCAAACATAGGACATGTTTACTATGATATAGGAAAATCCTCTTGCAACAGGTGTCTTTTTAGTTAAAAATCAATAAATGCCCTTTTTATAAAATAAAAGTGATCGGTGGTTTGGACAGGTGTGTGTGTGTGTGTGTGTATGATTTTATAGGAGTTAAAAATAAATTTGGAGTTGAGACAATGGATCAGATACTAAGATTAGAACGTATGCTTTTACAGGGATGCAGGAGCCCAATATCAGCACCGTCTAGTAGAACTTTCTGTGACAACAGAAATATTCTAGACCTGTGCCATCCAGTATGGTAGCCACTAGCTACATGCAGTTATTGAAATGTAGCTAGTGCAAAAGAGGAATTGAATTTTTAATTTTATTTAAAGTCATTTAAATTGAGTTTTAAATAGCCATACATGGCTAGGATCTACTACATTGGAAAATGCCACCCTATGTTGACCCCAGCCTGCAACAGAGAGTTCTCATCCTGCAGAGAAAGTGGCGTTGTCACATCCTTGGACCAGTGATTGCCAAGCTGTTCCCAAGGTCCAGGAGGCTGGGACATCCATCTCATGGTTTTTCATTATTTCCTCCATTCGTCAGTGAGCGAGTGAGTACCTATTCAATACCTAGCCCTGTGCTAGACACTGAGAAATCAAATAGAGATGGCCCCAGAAGCTCACATTGGGAAGACAGACCAGGAACCCAGGAGTTCCATGATAGAGTTGGGGCACCAGGTGCTGGGGGAGAAGCCATTCATCCTGGGAAGGGGAAGGAGAGAAGGTGCCTGGGACAAGGAGGATGGGAACAAACTAGCCAGGGTGGGGGGAGGTGATTCTAGAAAGAGGCTGGGCCCATGCAAACAAAGGGTAACATCATAAAACCGAGTTTTCGTTGGCAACCACCACACATAGGTGCGAGGAAAAAGCATGACTTGAAAATAATATTGTTTTCTTCTTGCTAAACCTAGATATTGCTGGGTATGACACTCCATCCCACAGGACTGATGGGAAATCTAATTTCTGTGATTATCATACCTGCTCTTCCAGGATCTCCCCAAGTGAAGCAAAGTCCTGGGGTTCTGACATGGTCTATCCTAGAACCTTTGGCAAAGCCCCGCACCCCCATGCATGTGCTACATTGGTTGCTATTAATGTGCTATTTACCCTGCAACTTTCTCTGTTCCTCAAGACAGGAAGCCCCATGGCCTGCAGTATAACGTCCCTCACATATGTCTTTCCTTTGCAGACATCCCCTCTGGAGACCACCTGCCCCTGGGGCCACAAAAGCAGCAATGACTTTTTGTCTCACGTTTGCTACACCTGCCCAAACCCCCATCACCTCACCTGCCTTGGGGAGACACTTTCTCATCTTCGTTGATGTCAACACTGTCTCCTGTAGGCATGGTACACATGATCTCTTATTAGCTGGTCCTTAAATAGCCAATGTTGGTCCTAGAAATGGAAGGATGAAATGCTTAGGCCAGTAATTTTTTTCTTAATAATTCATCTGTTATAAAATATTCAGGAAATGGTATGTATTAATAGTTCATTATAATAGGCCAGGGAGTACCTAACTCTGGAATACTGAATTTTTAGGGTTAGGTTTAATGGATATGCCCAGGTTTTTTGTGAGTAGGATTTGGCTGCCTCCATCTGAACCTTTTTTGCATGTGTAAAGGATTCACCACTGTATACAATTCTTGACAGCCATCATAGTCCACCTCCTGTCAAACAAACTGAAACAGCAATGGTATGGGCTGAATGATGCCCCTGCAACTTATTCGAAAGATACATCAAAGTCCTAACATTGGTAATCTCAGAATGTGCACTTATTTGGAAGTAGGGTCTTTGCAGGTGTAGTCAAATTAGTATGAGGTCACTAGAGTGGTTGCTAATCCCATATGACTGGCATCTTTATAAAAAGGGGAGATTTAGAAGAGACAGACACTCACAGACGGAAGATGATGGAACAAGACACAGAGAGAGGACAGCCCTAGCCCAAGAATGCCTGAGGCTACCAGAAGCTAGGAGAAAGATCTGGAACAGACCCTTCCCTCATGCCTTCAGAGTGAATATGGCCATGCTGACACCTTCACTTTGGTCTCCAAGGTGAGTATGGTGAGTCAGTACGTTTTTGTTGTTCTAAGTCACTCAGTTGTGGAACTTTGCTACGGCAGCTATAGGAAACTAATATAGCCTGTTTCTGACTCCCTCAGCCTCCCTTGCAGCTATATTAGGGTCACGTGACTGAAGTTTAGCCAGTCAGGTGCAGCCATCAGGACTTGAGCCAGCAAAGGGGCACAGGATCCTCTTCCATGTCAGAGATGTGCCAACCAGGGCGCCAAGTGATCGGTGGGGGCCTCAGTGGACCGGTGCTGCAGCCTGAATTTGCCCAGGGTTCTGACTGTCTTGCCTTCCTTTGTTCTTGCTTGTTTCCTGGGGCTGCCAATTCTGTGTGCCAACAGAGAGCCTTCCAGTAAGTTCTGCTGCTGCTTAAATCAGCAAACAAGAGTTCCTTTTGCTTGCAGCTGATGACCCTGGCTGATACAGATGGGGAACCATGAAGGGTTGCAATGCTTCCCTGTAGCAGTGGACAGGGCAAAGTGCAGTGTGAGTCTGCTGCCAAGTGGCTCCAGGTAGGGGGAGGGGATGAGGCTCTAGGTGGGAGCTGAGAACATGGGAGAGCCGGACAGAGAACGAGTGTGTGCACAGTGTGGAATGCGTGTGCATGTGTGTGGGTGTGGGTGTGAGTGGATGTGCATCTACATTTGCACGTTCTCAGCCGCAGACCCTGCAAAGGGAGAACAGCGGAACGTGCCCGTGGGGGTGAACTTTGGTCGCCTGATGGAGCCCACTAAACAGTGTGTTCAGGCTTCACCGGCGCCGAGCAGGGCCAACGACAGTTCCCAAGTTTGAAAAATGAGCCGCTTCACCCGCCTGGTGCTAATGCCTTTTTCGAAGAAACTTACATCTTGGAAATGTCATGACACATTGCAATCACGGAGAACACAGCCACGGTAATTGGGAGTGTTTCTTCAAGAGCAGAGCATGTCAAAGAAGATACATGGCTTGCAGCATAATTTCCCGCAACAATGGTGAGGGGTAGGAGGTGGGGGGCCAGGTGGGTGCGCCGGGAAAGCTGCCTCTGAAATAAGTCCTGGCGGGAGCTCCAGCACCTGGGACTTCTTCTGGGTAATGGAATTGCTTGGGCGTCAGGAGGATGCAGGTCCTGGTACTGGCTGGCTGCAAACTAGTTGTGAGACCGGCCATTCCTATAAATTGCTCCATGACTCGGTTTCTCCACCTTTCAAATGGGAATAATGTCACATGGGTGTGGCCACCAGATTTCAATGAACATGAACTAATAAGCATTAAGATTCCTTCAGCATGTACCATTTGCAGGCACTAAGCACTATTCATGAACTAACTCACCTGAGACACATAAGAACTTCAGGAGGTGGAAACCACAATTATCACTATACAGAGGACAAAGACATTGAGGCACAGAGAGGCTAAATATCTTCTTAAGGTGATACAGGTAGCATGCGATGATGCCAAGGCTAGAACTCAGTCCAGCCTGGCGTCTGAATTCAGGACCAGCACGTGATTCGCCACACCACTGGTGCCCACAACAGATGCCATGCCATCGCGAAAGGTACCAAGTGCCGGCAAGTATGTCATGTGTTGACAGCAACAATGTTGGGATGTCTTTGGAAGAGAATAAACAAAATCAGCATGAATCTGCTTCTACCGTGTTTCCCCGAAAATAAGACCTACCCATAAAATAAGCCCTAGCAGGATTTCTAAGCATTTGCACAATAGAAGCCCTACCCTGAAAATAAGCCCTAGTGATGGGCATGGCTACACAGCGCGTCTGCACAACCCGGGCATTTCGTGGAGGAGAGGGAAAGAAGACCAGCAGCCCTTCTCATCTGCCCCATGAGAGCTCTGTTGCTGGACATGAAAGATTGGGGCCAATGGTTCTAAAGGAAATAGAGTGGCAAGAAATTCAGGATGGAATTCGGGGTTTGGAGAGTTAGGATGATGTTCCAGAAGAAGATGACTTCACTATATTTGAATAAATATAGATTGTCGTACCGTACTTAAAAAAAATAACACATCCCCTGAAAATAAGCCCCACGGTGTCTTCTTGAGGAAAAATAAATATAAGACCCTGTCTTATTTTAGGGGAAATATGGTATCTGCAACAATTTCCAATAAGCAATGGTGACAAAAATAACTATAATAGTCCCCACTGTGTGCCAGGCAGTAGATACTTTTGATAAATGATCTCAGTTTTTCCTGCCACTAACTAAGTAAGGAGATACGTTTCCCATTTTAAAGATGAGAGACTTAAAGCCCAGAGTGTCTTATATTCCTAAGATCGTCCTGCAAAATAAATAGCCGTGACAGAATTCAAATTCAGATGGGCAGATGACAGGGGCTACGTTCTTTCCTCCACAAAACGCTGCTGCGATCAACCAATTTCCCTCAAAGGAACACTCGCTTAAAATATTTGTAGCTTCAGGCTCATATCTCAGAGAAAGAGAAAAGTGCAAAGATGTTAACCAGATAATGTAAATATTAACATTCACTTTAAGAGGTTAAATTACCTGGAAGCCCTCATTTCTAAAGGCCAGCCTTCTCTGGTCTTCATTCTCCAAAAGCACTATAACCTTTTCCATGAGGAAATTATGCAACTGGTATGTACTTTGCACAGACTTGGGGAGTTGGAGGCTGTCATCTGGGGAGCAAAGAGAGAGGAGAAATCAGGCATCCACCACCTCCCCCGTTAAATGGCGGTAGTATTTCCTACACGGAGATCCTTTATGGCATCAACTATCAATCTCAGTAAATCCAGTGACTGGGCATAGTAGGTGATCAATTAACGAATCATAAATAATCACGGTTAGTGGAGAGTATTAAATGAAATAACTTATTTTATAAAAGGCTTGGCTGAATTCCTGATAAAGCTAGATGCCTAATAAGTATTTCCCTCTCCCTCCATCTGTAATCCATCTTGCCCAATAGGGTATATGACATTTGTATTACAACTTGCCCGATAGGTGCACTTTTGCATACCTGCCTTATGAGGTCAGGTACTTTTCTTTGTCCCCAGTGTAGCTCAGCACCCAGCAAAGAGCACGGCATTCAACACAGGCTCGGCAACTGTTGCGATTAAAGGAAGGACTTTCTTCACCCTCTTCCTTTCTTCTCAAGCTTTGTAAATGTATTCTGAGCATCAAACCCAGATGGTTTCTCTGTTATTATTTTCATGAGCTAGAGCTTTTCATTCGGGGATTATTTTTAGCTGTTACGTGCGATTTTGTGATCATACCTACAAGATCATCCTCCCACTTACCAAACGCCACCCTAAATTCCACCATCTCTAATTCTACTTTTAGGCAATAACAGGTGTTCTCCTTTATGCAGGAAAAAGAGCCTAGTCTTAGAAGACAGCTGTCTCGGCCTCCATAGATTACCATGAGAAAAGAGGTGAGGTGTGAGGTGAGATTTCATGGAAGTGATTCTGTGTAGCCGGCAGGTGCTATCCACCTGATTCCTGAGTAGTTCAATGCCATAGATATTAATTCAGCATCTATTCTGTGCTGCACACCATGCCAAGTGCAGGTTTTAATATAGAGGAATAAAACATTCATTCATTCAACAGACGTGAATTAAGTTCCTACTATGTGACAGGCACTGTGCTGAGCTCAGGAAACATACAATGAGCTACCTCGACACACGTCATGCCATGGTACACTTACAGACCCAATTGTACTTCACATCCAATTGCCACATAACAAAACATAAAATCATGATTTTCTTTCTCTAAAAACAAAGAGCTAGTTGGGTATGGTGGCTGACGCCTGTAATCCTGGCACTCTGGGAGGTCGAGGCGGGAGGATTGCTTGAGGTCAGGAGTTCGAGATCAGCCTGAGCAAGAGCGAGATCCCGTCTCTACTAAAAACAGAAAAATTATCTGAGTGTGGTCATGTGTGCCTGTAGTCCCAGCTACTGGGGAAGCTGAGGCAGGAGGATCCCTTGAGCCCAGGAGCTGGAGGTTACAGTGAGCTGTGATGACACCATGGTACTCTAGCCTGGGTGACAGAGCTTTTCTCTCTGTTTCAAAAAGAAAAACAAAACAAAACAAACAATAAAACCCAAAGAGCTTTGGAGTAGATAAAACAAAACAACCATGCCATCCTCCCCCAAAAATGTTCCAGAAATTCCAGAAAGTTCCAAAGCCCTTTCACTGAAAACTGGGTAAAGAATCTTCTGAGCTGAGTGCTCAGGTACATCATTTTGAAAGACAAATTACCAGTAATCCAGTTAAATTTTAAATAGCATTATCTAAATGAAAAATATCAAAGTATGAGATATCCCAGCAAGAATAGCTCCAATTTCCTGCCTGGATGCTAAGGAAGGAATAGACTGTTTAATATCATCTTGATAACATTTTTATAAGTTCATGTTGGCCCATCAGATTGCAATTTGTCACCTGCTATCTAACAATTTTCTAATTCTTCATCACTTTACAATGTAAAATAATAGGCGCAGGATTTCGAGGCTTTTTTTAATAATAGGAAAAAAAGGCAGAGTAAAAGTAAGGGGCTTTATTTCTACCAAGTGATGTTTTTCCTGGTTAGAATAAGAATGGTTGCCAATAATTCAGACACATATGGTATTGAGCTCATTTTACTTTCTTCCAACTGAATTCATTTGTGAAAGATAACACAAAATGAATAAGAAAATCCCCAAGTCTCTCTTTTCCTCACCTCCTACCCTTCCCAAAAGTTGCGGGGGGGGGGGGGCAGCAATCGTTAGAAGACACATGTATAGTAGATATTTAGTACAAGGAGACAGGCATTGAGTTGAGCTTGGGTTTGAATCCAAACTCAGCCACTTAAAGCAGCATTCAATCCACAGAGTCCTTTACTGCATCAGTAAAATCAGGAAAATGAATCCTACTCGCAAGGTTCTTAGGACAACCGGGGTTAGGCTGTGAAGTCTACTGCAGAATGGGAAACACCACAGGCACTCAGGAAACTATAGATTTTTATGTTACAGCTAGTGTTCCATATCTTAACTGAACTTTGCACCGCGACTCCTTGAAAATGCTGTCTCTAATTTTCCTCCTCTATTTTCTTTGCATCACCACTTGACTGACACTGGTAGGTAGACAACAAGGTCACCTTGTAAGGACTGGCCATCTGCTCGCACACAACATCACGGATATACTGATAACTCAAAGTCAGACTTCCAGTCCAGAGCTCTCCCCCAAATGCAAGATTCATATACATTAATATATACGTAGAGATCCCTTTTTAATATCTCTATTTGGAAGCCCAGTTAACATCTCAAACACAACATTTCCAAAGCTAAATTCTTGGTTCCCCCTTTTCCCTCTGCAAATCCTGCTCTATCCACAGCCTTCCCACCTCTGTTGAGGACAAGTCCATTCTTTCAACTGCTCAGAACAAGAAGTCTTAAAGGCATCCTTAATTCCATTCTTATTCAAGCACCCCACTTCCAGTCCACTGGGAGGGAAATCCTACGGGCTCCACCATCTTGCCAAGCCAGAACTGGGCAGAATCAGGGCCGCGTAGCTCTGCAAGGGAACAAGGAATTGAACAAGAACCCTACACGAAGTATCTCTGTGTTTGGCCGACTCTGCTGACAACTGCCCAATGACATAACTTGCCCTTGCTCTCTGGTTTCAGTTGTAACTAACACTACATTAGCCAGTTCGTGTGCTCTACCATCACCTGTTTTGAAAGAAATGGTGCGACTGTTTTTCCTTTAGTCGTCAGCAACTAGAGGAAGGAGGAGAAATTAGCTACCGGGGGGCTGCAGAGAGGCTGAGCTTGGCTTCTTGGCCATTGTGCCCTGAGGTGTTACCAGAGTCCTGGGGACTAGAGAGGTACCTGTCAAGGTGCAGTGGTCATATTCCTGTTCCTTTACCTTCTGAAATGCCATCTCCTAACTGCTATTGGCTAAGAACCAAGCATATTCCCCTAGTATATAATAAATGATCATTTATTATTAAATAACGGGGAAAGAGAGCAGGATAGATATGTCATTTTGGGTATTCCAAAAGCTAAATATTAATGTATGTACATGCATGTGTGGGTGAAGCTTTTTGAAAACACCCTTCTCGATTATTTTATTTACTTATGTTTACAAAGTAGTTTACGAAACTCTTTTATTACATGATTTCACTTGATTCTTGGAGCAATCTTGAGGATCTATTACTATTTACATACCAGATATGATTCTTTTACTCTGTTGTAGCTTTTCTTTCTTCTGTAGCATATATCACTACTAACATGACACTTAAGGTTCTTGTTCATTATAGGGATTGCATATTTTCTCTCTTCAGTGGAATAAGAATAAAAATCTTTTTTTACTTCATTAATCGCAAATGTCTAGAATAATTTCTAGCACATACTAGGCACACAACAAATATTTGTAGAATGAATGAATATGAGTTTATCTATCAAACGTACATCAACATTTACATCATCAACACCACCCAAGAATATAACTTCCTCTGGACCTCTGCTTTTCTTTTCCCTCTATGTAGTACTCTTTTCCAGGATGTGCCTCGCCCCTTCTTAATACTGACACCTCAGTTAAAAGGTCTGATGCTCCTGAAGACCTGATAAACAATTATTAATCAGACAATGAAAGCCTAAATGCATCATTTCTCTACTTTCTATTGTCTATAAGGAAGTTCAGAGCTAGAGGCATTGCTCAGTCCAATCATGAGTTTATCCTTTCCTTTCCTTTCCTTCTACCTACATTCCTTTATTCTATGTGCCTGCATGCTTTCACACTCAACTCACTGCTTTTTAAAAAAGTAAGTGTAGATAGGATCAACTAAATGTAGATTCGACACAAAGTAAGATAGTACTAAATGAGTTCTCTTTATACCAAATTGTGATCTCCAAAATTATAATTCTAAAAAAACAAACAAACAAAAAGCAAACTGTAACACTGTACTAGATGTTTCATGTGTATTAGACATACCACGACTCCCTGTTGTATCATGCCTGCCCCACTTCTCCAATTTATGTGATCTCCCTTGCTCTTGAAAGTATTGAAGTTTTAAGCTCCTGGTCTAGATGTCAGATAACATTTGAGACTTGATTTCATGGGCTGGAAGAGTGTAGTAAATGGATCTTTTCAGGCTTAAAAGGCACATTGGTGAAACAGAGAGCTGACACTATGGTGCATATAGGGACACTCTGAGACCTTAGAAAGCCATCTAGTCCACTCCTTTCCCTGTGTCCTCTCCCTCCCCCCACACACATGCTCACTACCAGAATGTTTACATCTTCATGTGCAACAACACTTTATCCTGGTTGTCCAGAGCAGGCACTTAACCTTCAAACGATGCCGCTGATTAGATTGTGTTCACTCTGCAAGACTCCAGTGCTGTTGAGAAGCAAAGATCTGGGGAAAGCTGATGAGATGCCTGCTTTCTCCCTGCCTTTGTTATGTAGATGAGCTTCCATTTTATTTTTGGTGTTTCAGTTGAATCCTGAGCATTTTAATAGTTGTAAAGCTTCGCTGAACTTGAGAAGAGCTTAATATCCGAGATGTTAAATCGGCTCGGCAATAGTATCTAGCAGAAAACGAGGGTCTCACTCTCAGTTCTCCTTTTCCTCCTTAATAATGAAGAACTGATTTTCACTGTTAATGGGACTCTTACGTGAGGGGCTCTGCAGTGGTCCA